AGTTAATTGCAGGAACATTTGAGAAGTTACAAGAATTATGAAACATTCCATGAATTTCTGGAAATTAAAAAAAAAAACATGTTTTACAGACTCGGTGTTCGGTTGCGCAGTATGTAGTGGCTGTTCAACTCATATCAATTCCCTACTTTTAGCGATATACGATATTTTTCTTCAGCCGGCACAATTTAGTCGCCGTTCAGATGAGATTCGTCCCTACAGAGATTTCGAACGTGCATAAACTGACGTTCAATGTCTACCGGTTTGTTTTTGAACTCCATGTACCGACCTGTTTACACCAAAAGCAAACTCAACGATTTCGCCGATAACATTCCGAGCCAGATCTTCGAGGCATTTGACCAACCCTCGTTGGAGGTAACCCGTTACGGTCATCTTGATAAAAACACAAGCCGCAAGAGGGGGTCTTCCGAATCTCCTAATCAGGCGAGTATAATTCAAGATCTGTCTTGGAACATCCCCTGCCTGATGTTCGAGCTATAATGGAGATCGCTACAGCTGCTGACGAGATGATAATCATAGGCGACTTCAATCTGCCGGCAATTTCTTGGCGATCATCTTACGGTGGATTCCTGTATCCGGACCACGACCGTTCTACATTTCACTCTGGAGCCGTAAGCCTTTTGGATCATTACAGTATCGCCACTCTGAAGCAAATCAACCACGTGGTTAATGAGAACAATCGTAGCTTAGACCTTTGCTTCGTCACAGCTCCTCATTTGTCTATGGCTGTTTCTCCGTTGATAAAGACTGTTCCACACGATCCTCCTTTAGTTATTGCACTTTAAGGCAACCTTTTTCCTGAGGTTATTCCAACTCCCTCCCCGCTAGAGGTCTCCTACAATTTCCGAAATGCTGACCACGACCGTATCGGGGAACTTCTTTCGAATTTGGACTGGCACAGGATACTCGTCCCTGCCGATGTCAATGCAGCTGCCCAAACGCAGTTTAGTTAAAAAGTTTAGTATAAACATTTAAGTGAAAATGAGAGGTACGTTAAAAATGAATTACAGATTTGTAAAGTACGCATTTGGTACGTCACATTTGTACGTCATTGCTGAAATCGTATGTCTATCCAGCGGGACACGAGTTTTCCGGGAAGCTTTGCGGTACGTTCAAAATCCTTGAAGGTACGCTATTGGTACATTCCAAAACACGTATCAACTTTGAAATTCATTAAGTTTGTCCCGCTGGATAGATTGACGTTGGCTTCGCAACTAAAGTCTTCATTTAAGCCTGGACCTGACGGAGTTCCTTCCGTCTTTCTCAAGCAACACATCGATAGCCTGGTGGCTCCTCTCTGCCTTCTGTTCGAAATGTCCCTCTCCAGTGGGGTGTTTCCTTCCTTCTAGAAATCAGCTGAGATGCTTCCAGTGCATAAGAAGGGATGCAAAAGAAACATCGACAACTATCGCGGTATCACATCGTTGTGTGCCATACCTTAACTGTTCGAGTTGGTCGTTATGGAACCATTAGTCTTTCACTTCAAGCAGCAATTGAGCAAAGACCAGCATGGTTTCATGGCAGGGCGGTCGACTACCTCCAACCATCTGTGTCTCACCTCGTACATTACGGAGAGTATGACAGACCATATGCAAACAGATGTCATCTACACTGACCTATCAGCCGCCTTTAGTAACGAGAAAACGGTTTCCGAAATTTTGTTCGGAACAGCTGATGTGCTCTTTTCTGTTGTTGGTCGTGATTTGTTCGATTGGTTCCGCTATTTTACAGCTCAATTGGTTCCCGAGATTATATCCGCCAGACTATGAATATAGCGACTATAGTCAGTAGATCTTTGTGTTTGGATTTGAGCAGAAACATTCAATTTTACGCAATTGAGAAACATAGAGAGGGTTGAAACCTTGGGTATTATAGGTATCGATAAGCGCTCGATTTCATTTGTCAACCTTTTTGCAAAATTCTTGTGAATAGCAAGATGTAAGGTCAGTTCAAAACACTGCATTTTTTCCATAATATCAAGAGATTTATATCTGTTTTACGTATTAGTTCCAACAAGAAGAATTTCCACTACAGCTATGCAAATATGCTTCAATTTCTCAATGCATACCATGTTTTTTTTTCAGTATTCAGCTCTGCTTTATACTTTGACAGCTTCTTAAGATTTGCAATATTTATACATAAACCAAGAAACTTGTTGCAAAATGCTACTGCTTTAAACTGTATGCATCTAACTCCAAATTTGTGCGGTCGTATTTTTCTTCCTAAAAAGTAGAAGGGGCACGAACGGAAGCTTGACGTAGGACCGCTAGTGGACGGAATAAATGTGAAGAGCATTTAGTTCTTTTAATTGATCAATTATCTATCATCTCAACTCTTTCCGTTTTTGAATTGTAGGCGTACCAAATTTGTAGTAATCTTTTTCAAAACGAAAGTTGATTAAGAGAATCAATCAAAATCACTTGCACTCCTGCTTCCAAGTTTGGCTACAAGATTACAACTCTGGAGAGCATTTCGTGTGGTCGTTGGGGGCTTATGGTTCTGAATATGAACAAACAAGCACAAATAAATTCTATTCCAACTCTTTACTGATGTAAGCTTGATGGCCCTGAAAGGGCCGTTTTATTGAAGAGGACATCCATGGCCACTTACGCTTGGCGTGTTTAGTGTAGGTGACAGCATCACGGACCTCATTTTCCAGGAACACCTTCAGCACACCTCGTAGATCAGACCGGAGATACGTTTGACACCACCACGGCGAGCCAGACGACCGATGGCGGTTATCTCGAAGAACTTTGCGCCTCCTTTACCAGACCTTTTCCTCCTTTGCCACGACCAGTCAATTGTTGCTTGTTAGGTGTGAAGGAGTGGACTAGCCACCACCTTTCTACTGCTGCTATTGCTGTTCTCCACGCCGTCCGAAGCAAAAGTGAGCTAATGCCATACAGCAGCGCTCTTTTATATCTTTTCAGGACCAAGTGGTAAAAAAGCTACAAAGACTCCTCCCATTAAGAGCCAGTGTTGCTATCAAGTAGCGACACTGGCTCTTTTCCTTTTGCGTACTCGGCGAATGAGAACGACCCAAATTTGAGTTTAGTTCACTCATAAACGCCAAAAGTGCAGGAACTCAGCGATGAGTAAAATTTGTCTCATGGTTTCCTGTGGAAAACCTAAAAAATCTGCCAGGAAGTGAGGAAATTGACGAAAATAATATTCAGTCTCGGAGTAGTACCAATAGACTGAGTGAATCCAAACTTTCCTTTTCTCAAATTCTGGAATTTTTCCCTGGAAAATCCTGGAAAAACCTGGGAAAACATGAGGCAAATTTACTCATCGCTGAGTTCCTGCACTTTATTTCTTATTTCTGAGATAACTTTACACAAATTTGGGTCGATCTCATTCGCCGTGATATCACCTTGAAAGATATCGGCGCCGGTGGTTAGCGTGATTACCTCTCACCCCAGCAGGCCTGGGTCCAATCTCAGTCGGCGCCACCGGCATGTTCTAAGGCATAACATCTCTGATCACGCCTTCCTTCGGGAAGTAAAGCCGTTGGTGCCCGGTTGAGTTGATGGGTCGATTGGTAGGGTCCAGATGTGGGAGCTGCCTCCCTGGCGTCAGTAGCATTGAAGCTCAGTACGGAAAACAAATCTCGCGTCACTTTTCAATAGGTCCTATCGACATTGATCGATTCTCTTCATCGACACTCTCTTTCATAAATAACTCGGCTTCACAAATGTTACCTGTCGTCTTCGTCGAATTAGATGCTAGATTGTTGCTTCTTCCATCGAAAATATCCGGCCGTGGCGATTCAAAGTTGATCAAGGTTGATCAAAATAATTTGTACCGCTGCTTCCAATTTGATTACATGAGCATTTTGTGTGATCGTTGGACAAACAGGCAGATGAATTCTATTCCTACTCTTTACTGTAATAAGTTTGGTGGCCCTGAAAAGAGCTGTTTGTTGCCAAAGTTGGTGATGATTTAACCTTCGAAACCAAACAGAGTGCATCTCGGTCACTTCAAAACGTAGATGACATCCATGGCCGCTTACGCTTGGCGTGTTTAGTGTAGGTGACAGCATCACGGATCTCACTTTTTAGGAACACCTTCAGCACATCTCGTAAATCAGACTGGAGATACGTCAGACGACGGATGGTGGTTATCTCGAAGAATTTGCGTTTGGTTCTGAATGTGGCGATGAGTGTGCAAAATATTACGCAATTCCATCCTTCCTATTCACACGCGCCCGAGGATCGGAGGCGAATGCCACTTCGACTTGTTTCGTCTACTTACTACTCTCTGACGACTGTGCTGGGGAAGCAGCTTATGCATGTAGGTAATTGGTGGATTTGTTAGTTAATTCGACGCTTTTGGACAATGCTGAACATTTACCAGTTTTTCAATAATTTCTTGTTGAAAATCAACATTTGGAAGCATTGTTATCGATGCGTAGCCATATTTCGGATCGATCGGTGATAAAATTATTGAAATTGGACCAGGGGCAGCTGAGTTATTAACGTTCAAAATCTTTCTTAATTTGTTACATGTTCCATTTTCGGTTTTCACAAAGTGTACCCTTATATAGAAATCAAAGACGTAGTCCTACGTCAAAAAAAATGATGCATGCATTTGTTATCTAAGTTTATCATAGAGAAAGAAAATTGAAAAAAATTACGCACGCAAATTTGAAGAAATAAACAAGTAAACCAGTAGAAAAAAAAATTAATTGAAAATAAACTACAAGCTATGAAAACATTCACTTATTACGGAAAATCGTGACCAATTTGCGAAATTTTACGGTACCTAAATTTAAGTTCGCGATTACTGACTCCGTTTTCGACCTATTGGCCCGAGCATCATCTAGCATGAGATTAAATATTAATACATTCTCAAAAAATCAGTCCCATCTCATTTAACAAATTCGCTCATAATTCCACAAAATATTTGAAATCAAACGACGATTATTTCCTACACTATTTCCTGTTTCTAAAATCCTCCACTAGAACCAAAACACCACTTACCACATTATCATCGAAGTCCCATGCCTTTGGCTGTCGATTTCCGGCTGATGGCGGCGGCACAAACGGCTTCCCACACACTAACAACCAGCAGCAGGACATCATCACTATCAACACGACTCTTGTGACCCGGAGCATCCCGAAAACGGAACCACCTTTGCTGCTGGGAACATTCTTCCTGCTGGCATCTCGCCCACCTACTCCAGCCGAAGCCATCGTGTCGACCTCGATTCTTCTACCTACTTTTTCCTCGAAGGTGAACCCTTTTCTTATTTTTATGCTGACCACAACACAACACTTCCGAACTTGACGGGGCTTTTCACCTTCGTAAGCTATTTTTCTTCCTCTCTTCTTCACAGATTGCTTCTACACTGGGCTTCTGAACTGGCCACACTTGAACGACACCTTTAATTAATTTCGCGTCTTCTCGGACATGGCATGCACATTCTCTTGGACTTGGACACTTGAGACTACATGTTAAAAAAAAATCAGCTTTTTATTGCATTTCGCAGATACTGACTAGATTTTGGCTTCGACCTGGCGCCTTGACTGCCATTCAACTCCCGTGATATTCCCCGGAGGGATGTAATAAAAGCAGCTGATCCGGCTGGAGTTGGAAATGGGGTGGGTGAAAGGGGTTCAACGTGCACAGAATTTTGGCGTCAACGGCGACGAGACATTCGAGGGAGATCCCGAAGGGTGACACACTTTCATTCATAAAACCTCGCACTGGCAGCGTCCTTGCGCAAAATCCTACGATGAATCATGCACACATTGTTGACTGCTTTTGTTTACGTTTTGAATTTTTGAAACTGACAGGTGATACTGAAACCGGTGCGGACTTACGAAACACTTTCCGAAACACTGGTATATTAGCTTCTCCACTAAGAAAACAAATCGATTTTCGCTCCGTAAATCATGGAATTTAATTACACTCGCTGAACCCACTGACTTTCGTCGGGAAACACGATAAAGAAGGACACAATTTCATACAACTTCGACAAGTTAAATTGCCAGCACGCAGGCGCTACGTTTGTCACCCTCTGTTGAATTCACGAAATGACAACACTCTAGTTAGCAGCATAAGCAACAATGAAAACGATGGTAAAATTCGAAACAGCAATGAATTTAAAAAAAAAACACGATGTAAACAAAAACGATCTACGAAAAAAATAACAATGCAAACATGGAGTCTCGCACACGAAACTCAAACCAACCGACAGCCCGACGGACAGCGATAGACTGAATGATGGAATCATTAAATGAATTTCTGAGCAGTCCTGACTTAACTTTACTTAAATGGGAGAGAGTGAACAAAAATAATGATCGCACGCTTCCAACTGGCACACACACGCTGGCAGTTGCAGAAGAGTGCGGAGTTGGGATCGTTGACGATCGTGCTTTGGAGAATGAATGCTGGAAGCAATGAACAAGAAATACTGGAAGTATCCAAGTTCATCAGGACGTCGATGAACCGCGTTTGGGACCACTGGCAAAGGTAGAAACTCAATCTTTGAGTTCTAAAATTTAATATTCAAGAACAGAATTGATGGAATCCTTTTTCCATTGAATTTGTTCTACCACTTCGCATTTTCTCGAGCCCACATCTGGCGATTTACTTAATTTACGAGGTTCATAATGTATCCAATTGTTTGCTGTAGAGAAGCAGCAGGTCAGCACGACTTCTGAATGTTGAGATTAGTGCCTTCGAAAACATGAAGTGAAAGGATTCCATCAATTTTGTTTGTGGAAAATAGTGATCGACGATCGTACACACGATCGACCGATGAAGATCTTACCAGAACTTTACCGGAATTCTATCGATTAAAAAAAAACTTGTATCTAACTTAAGGATTTCAAAATCAGACGACGACCGATATTTCACTTAAGGTTTGGAATAATAGATAGGGGAATTTACGTATTCTCGTCAATCTAAGCAGCGTCCGAACTTCTATTAGCGATTTCTCAGCGTCACACACATACATGACAGGTTTGTTTGTTGACATTTATCTGCTGCTTGCTGTTCTACCAATTTCAATCGACAGAATTGATCAAAACGGGTTGAACATGTTTTTACAACGCTCCAAACTTCTCAGGTGAGTGTGACTATTGTCGGCAGTCTCTTTTTCTTCGGCACCCTTTCCATTTGAACTGCGTGTTAACCAGCTGTTCTATTATCGGCAACTCGAAATCAGCCGTATTTTGTAGTGTGTATATTTAATTTAAAGAAAAATATGGCATAACAGGATTGCACAGTCGTAAAAATGTAATCAGATTGAAGCTGAAAAGGTAAGGAATCGGCTTAATACATTCAGCGAAGAGTTTTGATGGGAAAATACAGTGAAATTAACGTTTCAATTTCGGTTGCCGAAAACAGTCAATGGGTGCCGAAGCCATAATTTACCCTATGCAAAATCTATAATTAACCACCAAATATGCAGAGTCTGTGAAGTGTTCGAATGATCTCATCTTTTCAAATAAATGATAAGACCTGTACTCGAAAAAAATGCACCAGACAAAAGTGTTCGCCAAAAATTTATTTTAAGTCGGATTTTCTTGAAAATTTCAGGGAATGAAAACTAATACATATGGATTATGTTTCGGCATAATTACTTTTTTCAATTTCCTTTCCATCGCTGAAAACCCGCACCTTTCCCTTAAGATCCCTCATTACATTTTGTGGTGGAGCCGACCTTTTTGGTCACTTTCATCCATTCTTTCTTCAACTCCAGCTCGTTCTTAAACACCTTGGACGATTTTCGAACTTTGGCCTTCATTATGGCCCAAAATCTTTCCACCGGACGAATCTCTGGTGAATTTGGGGAGTTGGCGGTTTTTGGTACAAAAACAACGTTATTGTCTCTATACCAATCCAACGTCGATCGCGCGTAATGGCATGATGCCAGGTCCGGCCAAAATAATGTCTCGCCTCCGCGGGACCGCAGGAAGGGCAACAGACGCTTCTGGAGGACTCTGTGCGGTAAATTTCGCTGTTTATGCTACCCATTGTGATGTACGGTTTACTCAGTTTACCAGAGCAAGAATTTCTTGGCGAATTTGTCCACTTTCTTCTTCCTTATGTCTTCCGGAACATCAAACCGTGTTGCGTCTGCCTTGATGTAGGTTTCGTCATCCATAGCCACACACATCGGTTTCGTTAACTACTCTCGATACAGCTTCCTTGCGCGAGATTTGGCCGCCGTGTTTTATTGATCACGCCGGTTCGGTACCTTCCTTGAATACACGAAGCCCAGCTCGTTTCATGGTTTGCTGAACGAACCAGGCGGAACACTTTGCCTTCAGAGCCGCGTCGCGAATCGAAAGGTTCGGCTTACGCTTGAAATAATCCAACACCTTCCGGGCCTTCACAGGGTCAGCTGTCTTCGATTTTCTTCAACTTCCAGCCCGTCGCTCGGTCGTCTGGGACTCCTTAAACGATTTTACCACCCGAGACACAGTTGTATGGGTAGTTCCCAGTTGTCTTCCGATCCATCTCATGGTCGCAGTCGGATTTTCCATGAAGGCGCGCAAAATACTCCGGCGATTTCCTTCTTGTTTCGATAACATCTCAATAACTACTGAACCGATTGTTATGAAATTTTGCACATGTAAACAATTCACTACAAACTTACCCAGATTTTCATAAATTTTTGCCCACGGATAAAAAAGTTACACACGGATAAAAATTGTGCATTTTTTTTCGAGTACAAGCCTTAAACACTTGAATGGAACAGCCGCAGAGGTGGAGACAGCGAGGCAGCAGGAGGAATGGCTCCACATATGGCGAATAAGTGAAATGATGTCATGCTAATTTAACAGAGTGACAATGGCCACCCTATGACCCTGGAATAGGTTCTGAAAGCTCAGCAGGAAGTGACCAATCTCTGATTTCAACAAAAACTAGTTATGCGGTAGGGAAGAGCGCTACTTCGTCGTAATCGCCCATTTCCGTTCTATCGAGCAGAAATCATCAATAATATCAATGATTTTACAATGGACAAAACAATAATACGTTTGTTCCGATGCGTTAGTTCATTAGCTACAACATAAATCCTATTAGAGCGCATTGTATGCATATTTACGCTCATTGTTATCAAAACAAAAGAAGCGCTCCTAGCGCATCCCCTTTTTCTCCGTTTATCCGTAGGACGAAGGAAATCTAATGGCGTTTCAATGCGTTTGGACGGAATTGAAACGCGTAGGACGAATTTAGAAGCAAGAAGCAGTGTTAGATTTTTAATAATATCTCAACATTGTTTGACTCTTTATCAAATCCAATGGTACGTATGGAAAGGTGGATAAATTTAGAAGTTATCTTTGATGAAAACATTCCATGTTTTGTTCAAACCCTTTCCAAAAAGCGTGGTAAAGTGCGCGATGTCCTTAGTAGGACGGAAATTACATCAAAAACCCTATATCCAGAATTTAAGAAACAATTCATTTGAGACCATTTTTTTCTGTTCGGGACTTAACACCACTGCGACCAGTAATTTGATCTATTGTAGTACATCCCGTGTCCTTAGTTTAGTGCATGTCGTATTACTCCATCACTTTTGAGAAATGATGAAGAATTCGATTTTTTTTACAGTTGTCATTCTCGCATTTATCGCAAGGATCCGACTCTAATTGAAAGGTCCCGCTATTTATACCCTTCGGAGTGTTGAAACACCCTCCAAAAGCGCGCCACTCTGTCATTAACAATTGGATTCCTTAGCAACAAAATTAAGTGATGACACCGATAATGACCATGCATCAAAACCCTAGTCTTAACCAGTTCAAACTATAGAACAACGAATACAAGATTAGGAATCACATAGGTGAAGACTAACTAAGTCATTTTTTCTTGTTTCAAGATCATCCTCGGTCCAGGCAGTCCGAGGACTTATCACTATCAACAAGGCATAAAAAGTAACAAGGACTAAGATGTGTCCCTTGGATTACTGAAAAATCCTGTTCCTCTAGTTTGAAGTAGTCAGGACTAGGAATCGGTGGTAGATCTTACATCCCGTAACGTACCATGAAAAGGTGATCTACCCACGTTACGGGGCATTAGAGACCATGCGAAGACACCATATGGCCACTCAATGTCCTTGGAACCAGTTCCGGAAGCCCAGAGGAAGTGGTGTCTTTCGTATTGAACAAAACCAGACGTGCGGCTAATCGAAATATTCAGAAATTCCTGGACAATTCATTACAGATCATGCCAACTGAACAGAGTGACAATGGCTACCTGAAGTCTTCGGAACTGGTTCTGAAATCCCAGGAAATAAGATCAATCCGAGGATCAATCAATCTATTTCTACTATAAACAACCATGCAGTTTATCTTATCGGTTTAACGAGTATATCATTCGAAACCATGCCAATTTACAAGATTGACAATGATCATTTGATGAGACAGCTGTGGTGAGCCGAAATTCCCAGCTACCAAACATTCATCACTAACATGACGAGATGACCATTGGACATATGCAAAAAAATTTAAGCAATTATTCAAGAGATTGATAATCTTATGGCAAGATCAAGCAACTGTATTGTGGGCAACACTGTATTCTGCAGTAGCCATGGTTTTGTCTTCTATTCTACGCGCCATAAACACCAATGTTGCCGCTGAACAGTTGATTGAGCATAATCATAAGACATCAGTGACTTGAATCATCAATAATTTTTATTCATTACCGTTGATCGAAAAGTGGTCTTCAACAAAGTTGTAGCTGAGTACATTTTCAACAAGCTCAGCTATCATTTTTCAAAGTAGAGTGAACTGGTGAATTTTGAGATTTATATGAACCGAAATTATGGTTTTTCCATAGTAATATCCATATAAACTTCAAATGGTTTGTGCGAAGTCAGTTTCTTATCAAATGAGTTTAAACTTTCGGAGGCTAGTCAGGACCTGATTTGAAACCGTTTCAACACTGTGGAGCGAAAATTTCAAATTTTGCATCAGTCTAATGACCATTATATTCCCTGAACTGCTGTGGTCTCCAAATTGTCGAAAACAGTCTGAAAGCATTGAAACGCATCACGGCCACTTTCTTTGGGGTT